TAGTGAGTGAGTGAGTGAGTGAGTGAGTGAGTGAGTGAGTGAGTGAGTGAGTGAGTGAGTGAGTGAGCGAGCGAGCGAGTGAGTGAGTGAGTGGTGAGATCTTGTGTTGAGTGAGTGAGTGATGTGAGTGAGTGAGTGAATGAGTGAGTGAGTGAGTGAGTGAGGGAGTGAGTGAGTGGAGTGAGTGAGTGGACGGCGGGAAGGAGCGAGGGACGGAGGGAGGGACGGGCGGGCGGGCGGATGCGGGCGGGATGGCAGCCAACAAAACTAGAACCCCACACAGAGATGTGGGGAAAAAACATGTCAATATCATAGGCCTTGTATCAGCGATGAGTCGTAATATCCCTGAACCAAACATCAAGAATTTTAAAAAAATGACGCCTGAAAGAACCAGTGTTTATATATATAAGGCATCCTCACTGTCCTCACCTCCTGAAGTAACTTGACAGAAAGCAAAAAACGATAAAAAACGTCATCTTTGTTGGATGCTCAGAAACTGGTGAACCCTTGCTGGGTCCAACTTGAGCTTCTTACTGAAGTGGAAGGAGGAAAACTTGATTTTGCACTGGAATGTAGAGAACCTGCTCTTACACATAATCATATCATCAATTCAATACAGTCCCTCTGCACTTGGAGAACCAGAAGCCAAGGTGCCTGTCCCCCAGTCGCACTTGGTATGCGGTTTGGTCGCCGTTGCACCAAGACAAGCGCTGCAGGGTAAAATGCTGGTTCTGGAATTCTGCTGCATCCACTCGCGCACATGGTTCGATCATCAAAACATTGTCCGCAACACGGGACAAGCACTGGGTAGCATCATGCATGAGCTCGATTTGGAACCACGCCTTCCAGGGCAAGAATAAAAGATAATAAAAGCAAAAACTCACCACCATCAGTCAGTACGCCCCTCCCAGATGATTCAGCCATGTCAGTGCGCCTCTGGCTGCCAGAACGACTCTCCAACCTCTGGGGGTGGAATATAGCGCGGCTGCTTCACCCTCAAGGCCGGCGGCACCAAGCGCGGCTCCTCTGCAGGTGGAGCGTAGGGCGCGGGCGTGGAGAAGTTCGTGAGGTTCATCTCCTCAGGCGAGCTGCGGAGTCAAACACCTGCAAAAACTACTGGAGCCATGTGCTCGCCTGACTGTCATGAGTAGGCACAGGCATGCAGCTGAACAGGTGGTAGTGTACAGAAAGAGATGCTGGCGCTACACATGTTCGAGTGCAACATCGGAAGGCGCAGGTGATGTAACTCAACCAAGCGTCATCTCGGAACCAAGCCGACTTAATGCCTGTCTGGATGTTGAAGTACAATGAGGTTGTTGCCTTTTCCGATGGCACATCTCACATGTGTTGGATGGTTACAATCCCAATAGAAAGCATAAATTAAAATGCGCCCACAGGGATCCAAAGCGATCTTGTTTCTTCATACTGGTAGTTCGCATGGTGTTCTATCATGCGTTCAATCCGATTTGAAGAGGTGTCAAGACATGCACCGGTTCCGTCAAGACATGAACGTTGTAATCCAGCAATTCCAGAGGTTTCAATACCCTAGCCCTAGCAACTCATGGTGGTTTCGATGGGTAAGTCGACCGAAAACTCGTCGGAACCCAGAGCCACACGGCGATGCCTGTCCATACGCCGACCCTAGTGTTTGCTCATGAGTATATAGATCTTGCAGCAGGGTGCCAGCAGAAAGCCGCAACTCCCATGTATTCATTGAGCGTGGCCATGCGTGGCCACGAATTCAATCAACTTCACATGCGGGGCCATGCGTGGTCATACACCCGGGAAAATGAACCATGGAATCTGAAGAGATGGACCAGACTGGAAGACGACGTTCCTCTACAACCCAGTGGTTTTATGTGGTTTTCAGGTTCCATGTTACATTTCCAGTGTGTATGTGGTCAGAACAAACCGGCGAGGCCGGCCTTTCCACTGTCTGACCGAGTCTCGGTGTCGTTCGTGACGTTCCCTCCGAAGCCCTGGAGCCTGGGTCTCAAAAGCCGATGGCTTGGCCCCGTTGGAAGTCGAAGACGAATCAAATCAGGACCCATGTGAAGGCCAAGAAAAATAGTTCAATGATGTTCAATGTGTTTCAGTTTCATGAAGCAACGATTCAGGATTTATGTGAAGCCCGATTCAGGGATCGGTTCTGAAGGATTGGATCCAGCACCGTGAAAGGGCTGGGCAAGTGGAGAATGGTCGAGTCGATGAGAAGGAAGAATCACAAAAAGTTGCTTACGATGCTGAGCTTCTGTTCATCCAACGCGTTGATTTCTTTGAATACCTCAGGTGCGGTGTGCATCTCAGTTCTGTTTGGAGTCATCCACATAGTGACTTGAAGAGCTGGTCACGTACAAGCACCAAATGTACACATGCATGTCAAAAATAGGCAAAAATGAAAAAAATGCAACAGAATACAGTAATTACAGTACATACATCTCCATGTTAATTCTACCGTGCTCACTTTCTAAATACTGATGGTTCAGCAACTCTTCACTCAAAGTTCCACGGGGCCCCAAACCTATCTTCCACTTATCGTGCCTGATCAGCCGCCGGGAACCTGCTCAGCTTGCCCAGCCAAGTTCCTCCTACCACCCCCCCCCCCTTCCAGGAGTTTGTTTCTCCCGCCCGGATGCAAAGCCAGTGAAGGACGTGGCCTCAGAGATCACGGATTAAAAAAAAAACTCACCAACCTGGGTCACTTGGTCGACCTCTTTACGTTGGACCTTGGGAGTTCTGACATCTTGGAGTGATGCTGAGACCATTTGGTTGAGAAAACATGAGAACACATGAAATCATTTGAACTGAAAGCACGCCCCGGCCCTCTGAAAGCTTGATTCAGTCAACTTCAAACCCTCTCTTGAAGACTGAAGTCACTGATTATATAAAGCCAAATCTCCCTGCAGGGCTGTGTCCTCCCAGGAATTCCACCAACTCGTAGATGTTGCCATCTGAAAATCATACTGCGGAGAGCCAAAAGAGTAGAGCACAAAATACAATGAATGGCCCCATATCCTTTGCATAATGAATTTGAGCCAATGCTTTGGGATGCCTTGGGTCACTTCCATCATCTTCCATCCCTTTCCCCTCCTCCCCCAAGGCCACGGAGATCTTTGGAACGCACACGCCTCCGCACCCTGGTTTCGGCCAGGACGAACCTGGTCGACCATCAACCAGACCGGGTGGCGCAGTCCTCAGTCGCCACCATCTGCGAGCCCATCTTCACCATGAGGCACTTGCCCCGGTCGGCGGTCCAGCGCGCAAAGCCGCCATGTCGCAGCCCGGCATCGGGGACCCAGGGGAGGGGCGACTTCATCTCCTGAAGGACGTGGCGACATGAGAAGGCTTGGAGGTCGAAACACGCCACGATCGCTCAGAACCGGCGCGCCGACCTCGGAGAAGGGTCCGTCCGGTCGATTCGCCCGACCTCGGCCTTCTCGCTCCTTCAAGGGCTTCTGCGTGCCGAGGAAGACGATCTTGGCGGTGAAGGGCCGGTCCCGAGGGCCACAGACCAGCGGAGTCTCGGACAAGCTCAGCCCTTGCCTCGCAGATCTGGCGGCGTTTTTGGGGGAAGCAAGAAGAAACACCTCAAGGCACCGAAGAAGAAGGTAGAGGTTGGAATGAAAGGTTCGGGAAAGGATGAAGCTTCCACCCATACGAGAACAGTTTGTAGGATCAAATGTTCCATCCAAACTGGCTTTGGGTTCACCTCCCTTAGTGGAAAATGGACTAAACAACAGGACTCCCAGCAAGCACTCCCACTTGACCAGAACAGCTTTGCCGTCCAAGGCGGTGGGCTCGGCTCCTTCCGTCACCACGGGGATCTTCAAGGTCCTTGGCGCCGTGGCAGTCGGCTGTCGTCCGAGGGCCGCAGGCGGTGGTGCCAACGAAGTGTCGGACACAGCCGTGGAGCCGTGGAGGTTCATCTGAGCCCCATCTATGGCACCGTTTTCTGTGGAACAGGCCCCATATCCGCCATATCCACACTGTCGGAGTGAAGAACCCCACAGGAATCGAGTGGAGTGTAGTCCACCTAATGGGCTGTCCACATGGGTCTCGCTGTCCACGCGCCGTCCATGCGGCGGAAAAGGCTTGGGTGACTTGGAGGAGATGATCAAGCAACACGACTTCAGGGGCCACCAAAGAGGAAGGAACCATGGAAGGCCAGTTGAAAGCGAAATAATACCGTACAGTCATACAGTCGCTTGATATACAGTGTAGTGTCGCGGGACTAGCTTGGAATGAGACTCAGGCCATAGACGAAGAGCACCACCACCAAGCCCAGCCCCACACAGAATCCCAGGTGGCGCAAAGCTGGAAAGCGGTCGGGCCCAGCACGTGAATACCATGGGTGGTCAACATCAATTGGGCCATTCTCCTCCTTGCCGCGTCCGCGGGGGCGCTGCGTGCTTTCAAACGGCTCCCCCGGACCTCCCGCCACGCCCGGTGCAGTCATGACCAACACACCTCCTCCAAAATGGGACGTGCCGTTCCAGACTCCCGGCGCCTCCCCGGGAAGCGGTCCTGGCGCTCCAAGGCAGACGCCTCAAGGCCCTGATAGGCCAGGGTTCGCATGGGGGCCGCGCCAGGGCGGAATCGGTGAGGTTTGAGCGAGACGGGCTGCGGGGAACCAGCTGGAAATATCATGAAACATCAATCCTTCATTATTCCAACACACGCCCATTGGTCATTATAAGCATGGATCCATCATGGATCCATCTCTGACTAGCTAACTTGTTAGGCTGGACTGATTTCGCTGACGCAACGGACCTCCTCCTCCCTCCGCCTTTGTGTCATGACCCAACGACGCCAACGACCCAATGACACGGGCCATCCTCGTTCAGGATCCGCTCGGCCCGGTCGATGTCAGTGTTGTCCTGGAGCACTTCACGGAAGTTTCTCATTTAGCCCGTCCAGGGCCCCCTTTAGTAGGAAAAAAGTACAAAAGTGAAGGTATACTCAAAAGAGATGATTCTGCTCACTCAAAAAATAACGTCCTTCTGTCTTACAAGTGTTACCTTGCTAAAAAGTCTAGCAAACTGCCCGATTGATTTTGTTCCTGGCCCCTGACATGTGTTTGAGAAACTCCCACTTGAAATGAATTCTTGTGCTCCATAGCATCAGGCTGAACTCTTTTCCCATCATCCTGAACCACATCAGAAATGAAAAGAAAGAAAGTCAAAATGATCACTTTTGGCACATTCCAGACATACAAAATAGTTTCCTGTCTCCCAAGGTGTTCACTCAAAGGCAAATTTTGGCCCCTAACGTATTATGGCAAACCCTCACTCCAAATAATTTTGTGTGTGTGCCTGAGGCTGCGACTCAATTGTAAACTCTGGTTGCAAGATGTTGCAAGCTCATATCCAACAAGGATCGATGCTTCAAATAAATTCCTGTGCTGGCAATGTTTTGGAACATAATTACGGTGTTCAGCAACTGAATTATGTTGGAAATGTATGGAAATGTCCAGCGCAAAGGTCAGCTGACCTGCCGCTCGTTGATATGTTCGGTACATTTTTGTAGGGAATATCCAGGAGGTATAGTTCCAGGAGTGCAGAACGACCGTTTTCAAGAGCATTGATATTTAGAAAAAGCACTCGGATTCTGATTCTGTGCTGCAGTCTTGACTCTGATCCTTCCAGGTGAGTTCTGTGGTGCCAATCTGAGTGTATACTGATTACATACTGCACCTAACCCCTAGGGATCGGTTTCTGGCGCAGGCCCTCCTCGCTGAACTTCCCCCACGGCAGAGCCGTCAGCCACTCGAGGTAGGTGCGGCAAACCTGGGGTGGCGCCAGATGCACAAGCCGGGCCTCTAAGCTTTCCGCCCGTACTATTATACATTCATCTCGCACCGCCTCAACCTGAAGCGCGCTCAACTTCCTGCCCTACCCTGGACTGCTACACTACTACACCTCTGTTTCAGCCATAGTTCAACCCGACAGTCACAGCTCGCCCCTAAACTGTGGGTCCATACCATCCCCGACCTGACCAAAAGAATTGCCCTAATGGACTTGGGGCACCTGCGCTGAGGTTTTCACCCTAAAAAGGATCCCAAAAGGATCCCCCTAAAAGGATCCCCCTTCGCACGGCCCCCTTCCGTCGCACTGAGTTCCCCCACGTTGAACTCGGCACTTTGCGGCTCCAAGTTCCCCAACTTGCTCAGCTCCTCACTTTCGGAAGTCGTGGAATCGAGTGGATTGAGTGGATTGAGTGGAGAACTTGAAGCAAAAGAGGAAGAAACTGCTCGCAGTCCGCATCGGCACAGTTTCTGGGCTTGTTCAACAATTTGGGGGCCCAAGCCTCAAGTTGAGGCACTTTGGACCCAAAAGGCTCTGGGAGGCTCAACATTCCACAAACCCCTAGCAGCTTCTGATCTCCTGATCCATGGCCTTCGCTGCCTCCTCTGGCACCAAGTTCCCCAACTTCTTGATGGACTCCTGCCGCATGATGGAGGATCACCCGAGGATGGGGGGACTCCACACAACCCACAGAACCCTAAAAAATACCACCCGCAAGCCATCAGGGAGCAGCCTGAAAGACTCAAAACCCTCCCAAGACTACTATGACTGATGGGAAACTCCTTGGCCTAATTCTAGTCATTTTTGCTCTGAGTTTGTCACCTTGCCTGGGCCACCTTCCAGGGCCTCTTCCTGTTTTGACTCATGGGCATTTATAGGTGGATCTGAAGCATACCACAGCAATAGAAATCTGAGGTCTTAGAATTCCTGAGGTGTGTTTTTCTCATGACATGTCTATATGAATCACCGCATGTTTGCTGACCCCCCATGTCTCAGGCATTGAGCCCACGCCGCACGGGCCCACGCACTAACTCGCCCGATTGCCTTGAAGGCAGTGATGATGCTCTGCTTGCCATCCCATTCGAGGTTCAACTCCCGCTTGATATAGCGAAGCTGTTGCATCAGGATGAACTTCCTAAGTCGCAGATCACATCGGCGAGAGCGGAACAAACGCCTCCGGTCGGGGTGTCGGGCTGCTGGCCAAGAGATGAAAAGAAGATCTGCAGGTTTTGGGGTCGTGCCTCCTCATACCTCAGAAGACTCCGCCAATCTGAGGTTGCAAGGGGGCGGAGTTCTCCTTTCGTCCCAGAGATTCACGGTGGAATCCAAGAGTCTTGTTTTCCTTCGCAAACTTGTCCTCGATTTGGCTTCGAAACCTGAGAGACACGAGCGCTTCGAATGGACAGGCGAAGTCCTCGATGAGGCAAGCGACCTGCCAGACTCAACTCTTTGGAGAAGGAAAAGGCATGAAAGGGCAATGTTTCAATCTGACTGGTGCCCTTGTAAGGAACATTGAATTGGACCCGTTTTGTCACACCAAACCTTACTCATGGTACGCAAGATCGATCTTCGTGGCGTCGCAAGTGCTGAGCTTCAGAACTGGCTTTGCAAACGTGTCGACTCCAAGTCCTGGCATGGGGCCGTTGATCCTTCTTGATCGCCCCATAGATCTGATGACTCATTACCCCTTGATCCCCTTCATCCGCTTCATGTTCTTTTTGCAGATGGGAGAGTAGAGTGGTCTGGAACACAAGTGCGTTCCTCCATAAACAGCACCACTTGACTCACGAAGTAGATGCATTTTTTGTCTCCAGCTGGCCCTCTCCTTCTTCAAGATCAAGAGGACTTTGCGAAGGCGTTCGGCCGCATCCTGCCAGGATCTGCCACTTCCCACCCTGTGCGTCACCCTGTCAGGATCAGACCTCCCGTTCGCCCTATGTCGTTCCTCTTCCACCTTGGTTGGCAAAGAAACCACAAACTCGAGGGTGAACGCACCTTCTCAGGTCGATCGCGCCGTCGATCCCTTGCGATCTCCGATGTGCCGGCCGGGCCTCGCAGGTGAGCACCTCTTGAAGATCTTGCCGCGGAGCACTGGACATGCCAGCAGCCTGGGCTGGACACGAACGACGCCCAGCCGGGCGTCGTTCGACGCGACACTGAACCAGATTGATCCATCCGACAGATCCGCTGGTGGACCGGTGTATGCCAATCTTGATGGGGATTCCTAGCCTGGATTGACTCTGCGGGTAGATCTAGCGACCACCTCCTCCTAAACCAATAGAGCGGTGATCCGCCCCACAGAGATCTCACAAGACCGGCGCAGGGTGATGTGGTGGGGCCCTGCATCATGATCTAGGCAATCATCAGAGAAACAGCTGCTTGTCGCGTTCAACCCATGGGGACCACACCTGCAAGGGTAAGATTTACGCTGGATTGCATCGCCACGGACGCCACACATACCGGCTGAAGACAACCACCTGGCCCAAGCATTCACGCCCAGAAGCTAAATCTGCAAGCTTAAGGGGGTCGTCCAGGTTGTAGTACCTTGGCATCAAGACAAGCTTCTGCCAATCCAGATTTCAGGCTGCTTGCAGGTTAGAGGCCGGTTCCTGAAGCTTTACTTTCTGCCACTGGCCCGAGGAGAATGGGCAAACACGCATATGCATCCTTTGCGCCCAAATCTGGGGGTGAGGCTGACGGTTCTGGAACTAACTTACTTCGTTGCCTCCTACTACCTCCTACCCAGAAACCGCCTTTTGCCTCCTGCCTCAGCAGTTGGCAAATGAAAGGGGTGATGAAAAGCAAAGATCACAACTCGAGTTACTTCGGTAATCGCAGGAGTTGAGCCAACTAAGATTCATCATGACGCAGTTCGCTAGGCTGCTGCCCAGGTTGCTTGATCACTTGCTCAAACTGCTCCTTGTTAACAAACTGCATCTTCAGCAAATCCTGACATCAAAACCCGTGGATGAGTCCGACGGTTTTGAGGGAGCTTCGTGAGGTCATAGCGATGTGTTGGTTTGACACAATCGTGAGTTCGGAGGCTTAGGCCATTTAAAGTGGGAAGTCTGAATGATCATGTGGTCAAGTGTGGTCATGCTTGCCAGTAGCTGAGGGGATTGTGCCTGGAGTGGGAGGGTGTTAGGTTAAGAAGTGATGGTGACAAGCTGTCGTGGCCATTGTTTGGCACAACGATCGAAAGACGCATGAATCCGGGACCGAACCTCTCCCCAATGGCAAGAAGCCTGCCTTGAGGGGTAAGTTTCGCCCATGTGAGCCTTTTCGTCTTGCGCTATCTTGCGCCCAACTTGTGCAAAACACGCAGTCTGTCGCCTTCATCGTGGCGACCATTTCATGGTTCAGCGCTCGAATCTCGATGCTGGTCTCGGACTCATCGGTCGGCACCTCAACATCTGGATCATCTGCCCGGCTGAATGACCAGGGCAAGTCCATGTGATACCATGTGCGCTACGTCATTGACTACTCCTCCTCCTCCTCCTTCTCCTACTACTACTACTACTACTACTACCACTCCTCCTGCTGCTACTGCTGCTGCTAGTACTATAGTACTAGTACTAGGGACCAGAGTCTAAATGAGCCGCATGGGAGTCAGGAGGGTCTGTGCACAGGATATCAATTATTCCCTCAAAGAGAGAAGTGGCAAGACAGCCTGAACAACTCGATGCAAAAAGCATCCAAAAGCATCCAAAAGCCCTCATTGCGTGGTGGGATTCTATGAGCGCAAAGCTCAAGAAATCCCAAGTGTTTGTCTTCTTTGTTGAAGAGTTTCAATTTAGTGGACCGGCTTCTCCCATGCTCATATCATAATCAGCTTGTGATGTCTTTTTGCTGCTATAACTATCTAAAACTACACCCCCTCCCTCCTCCTTCACCAATCTGGGCCGTCCAAACGGCTGCCTTGGTTCTTGGGTTCCTTCCAATCCGGTCCACTGCCCCCAGATCTCCCAGATCTTCACACCCCGGTCCCACCAAGCCACTTCCAGCACGGGAAGGGGCACCGTCTCCACGGCGCAGAGGGGCACCCCGGCGACGGGATTGGAGATAGTGCCCACCTCAATGGCCGTGGGTCATGGCACCAGGAGACCAGATTCGCGGCCAATGGTGAACTGGGGCGGGCTGCAGGTTTGGGATCCACAAAAAAGGCCCGGGAAAGTAACACGTTTGGGTCAATGCTGGGAGAACATGGGAGAAAACAAACTGGACAGGGTGATCTCTCTGTCTCTCGCTCTCTCTCTCTCTCTCTCTCTCTTTCTCTCTCTCATTCTCTCTTTCTCTCTCTCTCTCTCTCTCAATTTGTGCAGGCCAATCTCGCTTGGGAAAGCTTGGGTAGCTGCAAGCTCTCCCATCTCCGAACTTCGTCCAGCCCACTTCCCAACTCGGGCCGCAGCCCGGACGAGTTCTCTGGGTTCCCCGGACGCGGCGGATTCGCTGCATGGGCATCACCACCAGGCTGCCACCGGGTTGGCTGGGCGCCTGGTTCTTCCCCAAGGTCACCGTCACCACCTGGCGCAGACCGCGACGACCGCGTAGACGTTTGGAGGTGCAGGGGGGCGGTGCCAAACGCCAATCCAAATCCAACTGTTGTACAAAGAATCCATGGATCCATGGAGGGCCATCATCAAACATAAGAGTGATTCCAAACACAATTCATAAGAATTGTTTGAGGAGGCAAAAAAAAGCCCAGGTATACACCACCTACGAACATACCGGAGAAAAAATAGAGAACAAGAAACATATCCTGCTCCTGACTAGCTCGAAGCACGGCGCAGTGCAGTTCCCCGCGGGGGCCGCCGTTCGGCCCCAGCGCGCCTGGAGCTTCGTGCCCACCTGGCGGTCGCTTGGAGGCTGGCCGGTCGGTCGGGAGGGGGGGCGTGGACAGGTGAGCCATGGGCGTGGTGTGCTGGACCTCGCCAACATCATACGTTCATATAGGATCTAATCAATCTATCAGGACCTGGAACACAAGATTGGGACCAAATGAGTCAGGCCCAGGCTGGGGTCCGTCTATGGCACAATTGACCGCGCCTCCATCAAAGCATCCGAGGAAGCCACCTGGCCACTGCAGCATCAACGGTTCTCGACGCGCAGGTGCCCAGACCCAGGTATACACGACATGCCAAGAAGTTGAACAGCCGGGTGTTAAGTTCAAACTTGAAGCAAATTTGAAGCATTGCCTTGTTCCAGGCGTTCACAGGTTAAAAGCAACATCATGAATTCGGAGGGCACTTCCCTCACTTGGCCCAATAAACTCCGTGCCCTTTCGACGCGCGCGATCCGAAAATGATCCGTGACCTCCCGCCTTCCCCGTGTCCTTTCGCGTCTTCTTCTCGCCCTGCTGCGTCTGCGGGGTTGGAGGCAAACTCAGCAACGGCGCGGCCGTCTCGCTCTGTGGGGAGTCCTTGGGCGTCGCGTCGCGGAAGGAATGGCACGCGCCCAAGTTTCGGACGTCGCACGGCCCCTCGGTTCTGTCCTACTGGAACTGAGGAATGACATAGGAATGACTTGGCTCGTAAATCGCAAGTGTTGCTTCAAACCAAGGAACATCGACTTCCAAGGTCTCCATCCTGCCGTCATGCGATCGGCGCACCCTGGCACCGCCCAAAAACGACGGACCGACTCGACATGACTCGACCGGATTGAAATGCGGTGACAGATCGACTGGAGTCCGCCAAGGCTCAGCCAAGCCTTCAGGCATTTCCTTGGTCATGAAGCCTGCAAGGTAGCCTCCCTTCTCTGAGGATCTGAGCCTCACGATGTAATCCATGATTTCGGGATCCTGGACCTGGATCACATGGTAAAACCTCAGTCAGCAAGACGGATAGTGGAGTCAATGATGATTTCACAGAACCGTTCTTCATTCCAACCCTCTGATCATTCATGCTTATATAAACAATGTTACATAACTAAAACACCCCTCCGCTGGCTCCTGCCAAGCAGCCCAGGGAAGGCTGGCTTCCGGAAGAGCGGCAGCGCATAGAGCAGCTCCGGCTCCGCGGCGGCTCCTGCGGCTGCGTCCGCGGGAGGAGCTGCGGCTCCTGCCTCGCCTAGAACAAAAGATTGCATGGACGGCTGGAGTCGGTGTGGCTGGTCAAGGATGTACATGACTTGGGCAGGCAACAGCAACAAAACAGGAATCTTTTGACGCAGGGTCTGAAATTTGCAATGCCATGAAATGTCCACACTTATACATAGGTGATTTGAAGTGATTTGGGTGTGGGTCAAAACCGGGCTACCTGGGTTGACCAGAGAAAATGAACAGAATGGACTACTAAGGAGGTCAACCTACCCTGGTCTGGGGATCCGGGCTCTGCTCCACAGCCATTTGTTGTTCTGTTTTGAGACGCTCGTCGATGTTGAACACTGGGGTTCTGTCGTCTCTGTGGTCTCAAACCGCGATAGCACAGAGACCAGGATCGTGGCGCACCACGAGTGGGGTGTATGTGGAGGGCGATGCCTTGCTGTGCGCAGCTCCGGGCTGTCTGGGTGTCCCCCACTTGGCTGAGATGAAGATTCTACTGGTCACCGGGCTGGCATTGGTGGCGACATGCATGACAGGGCCGCCATGGTCGGCTCGCGGAAAAGCAAAAGCACTTCGAGTTGCTTTGCAGAGAAAAAATCACCTTCTAAAGATCCCTATGTTTGTTACCTTGTTGTGGGCATGCTCACTCCCCTCCTAAAGTGAGACTGCTACACCCAGCCTGGTGGATCACCTTCAGGGCCACTGGCCTGCAGCTAGACTGAGTGTCTGGATGGATACGGAAAGCTCCGGAATCTGAGAAGGGCCCAACCGCCGAGAGAAACTGGTCCGTCACGAATGACTTAGCTGAAGGACCATTAGTGTGTCAATACCAGGGTTGGGCACACATGGGCAGCCAGCAGCCCAAGTGGCCTGCGACAGGAAGCGTGCGGATGGAAGCCAACATCTGGCCACCAGCAGCCTGGCATTGGAGGACTGGAGGGCGCATTTGTTTGACCCATACGTGGTGGAATGAGGCAGTAGTGGCAGTTTGCCGGTAAAGCAGAGATGTTCACTCGCATGCCAAGATCTGCTATGATGCACCCTGACCGCTCGTCCGGCCTGCAAGCCACCACGCGCCCCTGACGCTTGTAGCTCTGCCCAAGGCCCCGGGGCCAGCGCGCCGCGCGCGCCGCGTGCCGCAGCATGAGCCTCGTGGAAAGCTCATAAGATTTTTGGTGGTCAAACCCACTACCATGGATTTGATCCAGTAGAAGAGGAGAAATCTTGGACGTTGTTCGCTAGATGTCACTCGACTAAATGTTCAACGCACACATGGAACATGGACAGATGCTTACCCAATGTCTTCTGCAGGCTTGATCCTTACAGGACTGGTTCGTTGGCACTCTAACTGAGGAGCCGTGTCAGTTGTGCACCAGACTTCACAGTAGAATCTGGAGAGTTGTAGAAGTGAATGTAAGCAAACAAGAAGCCTCCTTCTCCCACTGGCGCTTTCTCCACCCACCGGCCCAAACCTTCGGGTCGCCTTGCAGAACCTTCCGCCAGGGAGCCCTTTTGAGCCAAGAGCAAGGAGCAAACCCGTTGAGCATGTTATATTAGGTTTCGATTGCTTTTTCGGGCCTCTTGTTGAAGGATGTGCCCTGCGCTTCCCTCAAAACAAACCGGGAGAATTCTGGATTCAATCCCCCTTTGATGGACACTTGCAAAACAGCCAGGGTTCAACGGGGCCCGTTTTTTTGATCCTTGAGGCTGTCAGTTGTTTGCTCCCAACCGCCTGCGCACACAAATTCCGATTCCAGCATGAAACAGGCATCTGCTTCTTTTCCAGGCCCATCGCATGATGCATGGCAGTTCACCATCACCATGCCAGTTCACCATCACCGACCATGTCTTTCTGACAACCACTTCCACAGCACTTGCGCAAGGTTCTAAGCTAAGCACACTATATACCATATATATATATATATTTTTTTAAATATGTTTTGTATAGTTTGTTTAATCGCTTCCCGCCGAGAAGGCCTAAAGCGTCCTGTCATTCAAAGCCCCCGAATGTTCACCAATCCACACCGACCAACATGGAAGGAGCTCCAAAATCTCATCCGCCCAAGGTGCTTCGGAAGGCCGCAATCGCCTCGGTGGCTTTTCGAGGGAGCTGATCTGCTGCTCGATGGTTCCAAGCAGTTGCCAATGCACCAGTGCTGCCTTTTCACTCAAAAAGCCCGTGCTGCTCCCCACACCCATCCCATCATCCCACACCCCAAACAAATGGCGGTCGCTTCCAGTCACAGAGCGGATGCGGCAGTCCAGTGAGAGAATCCTTCGTGTCGTGGTTGTGATCCTGAGCCATGAACCCCTCATTCTGCTCCATGCTCCATGCTCCGCGGATGGAGAGGCGAACATCCCTCTCTGACAAGTGAACTCTTACCGCGGGAGTGAGGCGACAAAGGCAAACATCGGAAAGGAAGATCGAGTCAAACCGGTCAAACGTCTCATCATTCCAGCATTGCTACATTACGTGACTTTGTATAATGAAGGTGGTGCTATGTCTTTCTGTGTGACTCAACTATGCGATGATTTAGCAGATTGCACAAAAGGCGTTCAGGTCGAAGAACAACCACTGAGGTAGGGTGCACAGTGAAGCCACCGATATCTATATAGATCTATATAGAGGCTGTTGACAGGTGAACTGGCAAGTGTCTTCTTCTTCCTCGTTGTTTTCTTGACCATCTGGCTAGGTGGCTAGTGCATAGTTGTTCTCAACCCGCCAAACACCTCGTTTGGAACGAACGGCAACACGACACGAAAAAAGCGATGCCCAGCGGCACAAATGGCGGCGTGCTGATTCACACCTCAAGGTATGAGAGTCTCGTTGGTGCGAGACATCGAAGTCGAGCTGAAGTCGGGTGACATCGAACTCCGCCACTTTTGTCACTTTCTAGTAACAAGAAGCCATTAGTAACAAGTGCATCGCTTCTAGATCTTCTAGTAACAAGTGCCTTACTAGTACTAACAAGAAGCTATTAGGAACAAGAAGCTATTAGGAACTGACTTCACTGAGTTGGCTGGCTGTGACATGGCTGAACAGGAAAAAAACACAACTTCACGCGACTTCACATCCAGGTTGATCATCTTGGGTTTGGAGGTGTATCGAGACGAATGGCCCCAGGTTTGCTGCCCGAATTGCACGCAGCGTTGATTCTAGAGACTCATCGCGGCGGTCTGACCTCTAGTTTTAACAGGGCAAAGCTTCTGAGCCTTAATTTGTTATTGCGTTTCACTTGGAAATTGGAGCTCGTTGAGGGATCCCTGCCAGGCGCTGAAAAAACATGGCCGTGACACACTTTCCCCATGAAACACATCTCAGACCGCACCGGTACCTGGCCAAGAGGAGACCATGTGACCATATGTCGTGCCATGGGGTAACTCTCAGCCCTTTACCCTCCGGACTCGTCCAGCGGTGAAATCGGCGTTTTCGTCAAGCCGCAGAAAGCACAGATCCAATAGCAATCATCCAGGCGATCGCAGCGCTCTAGCATCTTCTCAATCACGTCAATTTCCTTCCACAGCGCGCGTGGGCCGGCAGTCTCTCGCAAAAGGGTCCAAGAGGAGATGGGGGAGGTGTTGTTGGTCACTTTTATGCACATGGTGCGTGCACACGCGTTGCATAGTACATACATGATCATGAGCATTTTTTTGTTGGTCACTTCAACTAGTTTACTCATATATTAAGACTTGTCATATGTGTGTTTTGCAACTCTGTACTGCTGCATCAGCAGCTTTCGTGGGCTAATACAGCAAGCATGCCATTCAATCCAGCTTGTTGGTGACTACTTGGGACGAGAAGTGCCTCCCACTGAACACACTGCGTTGCATGGCAAATGAGCGTGAGGAAATCAATTGAAGCGCCTTCCAGAAGCCTTCACCTCTTGATTTGGGGTGCTTGCCCCAGCTGCAACGCTGGGGGGCATGAGGAGCTTCCAATGCCAGCACCGCGGTCCTTCTGCAGCAAGCGTGAAACCAAGCCATAGCTCGACTCCTGGCCACGATGTATAATTATATATTATACTTACAGACTATGAATTCTGAAAAAAAAAAACTGTATATAGCAACTACTCCAAAAACAACACTGGCATTCCTCTATTCCGCATCGATCTGCAATCATCAGTCACGGAGTGGCTTGTGCTAGTGACATGCCAACACCGAGTAGTCTCTCTTTGGGGAGCCCAGCCGAGAAGCGTTTCACGATGGACTGGCCCATGAAGAACTTTTGTGGCAACAACAACAGCAACAACAATTGTCTCACCACTTGCCCGCACTCAGCATCACACAGCCAAGTGAGCTGCCATGGTCGACCTTGCGAATCCCTTGGAAGCTTGAAGCATCTTGGAGCCTATCAACATATCCCTCTCTCTCTATATATATATATTATATATTGATATTAATGATTATACAATATTATGTGTTATAATTGTTATGTATATATATATACCCGAATTATATTGAATTATACATGGTATGCACCCTATCCCCACGTTGTTGCCTAAGTTTGCGTCCCATCTCTCCATCCCATCTCTCGACTCCGAACTCACCTCCAAGGCGTCGGCCACCACTGCAGCGATCAAATCCACGAAGCGGTTGCCCCACCAATGCCTCGGCTGCGGGAACCAAGAGCGGAGCAAAGCCCCGGGCTGTCGGAGAATCGCCGAACGTCGCACTAACGGGCGGGTTCGATCACCGAACGGCACCGGGAAGATGAGGAAGCAATGTCTAGAAAAAGAGAAGGCAAACGACTGGCTTTTAGAGGTGTTCACCCGCAGTCCTGCCTGCAAATGCCATTTTTGGCAACATCTATTCCACTCGCACAGCGAGACCAAAGCACACCCGACCTCACGATCCATTGCGCCGGTCCCTCCTTTTCGGTGCTTAATCCATGCTGATCTGTCCTCAGTGAAACATCCGCGACATGCTCTAGGCCGAAGCCTCCATTTCGCAGAGCCAAGCGAGGACTTTGAGAGGCTGAGTCTGAGCTGATGCTATCCAGTTGGTTCAGTAAGCTTTCGTGTACGGAGGCGCAGGCGCAGTCTCACTCGAATCTGAAGGTCTTCTTCTTCTCCTCACATTTGGCCTCCACCATGGCCCTGCAGAACGAGTCATGTTGGTCTTTTCTGCTCAAGACTGCACCGAGTTTGTATCTTCACTGTACCATGCACTTTCCGGGCGCAAACAAGCTCAACAGAATGAACAGGTGGTCTAAATTGTCGAATGCCAAAAGCGGGATCAAACATACAGTAAGTGGCAACATGCTGGACATGTCCTTTCAAGTCCTGCTTGTGTCGTTCACACATGTGTACTGTGTACCACTATGTGTACCCCAGATCATGATAGCAGAACCAGGTACAAAGGTATACAAGCACCATCAAAAACCAAACATGCCCCAAGACCTCCAAGTCCATCACTGCCCATCTCCCCTGAAACGAAAGTCCGGAAGTCCGCTCTTCGCAACACGTCGTCGCGCCAACACGCTGGGTGTTCCGGGCGGCTCCATCAACACCGGATCCACGCAGCGCATCTGGGCAGAGGCCACGACCTCGTCCAGCAGGCTGTCCTGACGCGAGGTCGGTCTGCAGTCAGGTTCTGTCGGCTCGGTGTCTCCTTTGAAGGGAGGAGAAGGGGTCAAGCCTTAAAATCGTCATGTTCATTGTCGAGTCTCCATCTTTTTCTACCACATGGAGCAGGAAACGGCGTAAGAATGGCTTGAGGGACATGATTTTCATGAGACACTTGGTGACAGTCCGTCAGGTGTTAGTGTTAGGCTACCTTCTGCGAACTGTCCGTGAATGGCCGAAGAACAAAACCAAAGGTTGCGAGCTGTGACGTGTCGCCGCACTTTGCATCCCGCCCCGCTCCAGCACGCTTGCATCCTCATTCTCCAGGAAATCTCGGACCTGTGAGCCGATGGATTGATGGTCTCCAATGAACCATCACCAAACAAACCAGCAACATCTGGAAAACTGTTCTGGAGCCAACCAAGTTCCAAATCCAGCTTGCTTCATCTTGCCTCTGATGAGCACAAAAAGCCCCCTTCCCGATTCCAAGCTCCCAAACCATTTCGCCGATGAAGGCGCAGTCCACCTGTCGTGCCAGACGGTGTGTCAAGGAGGACTGGGTTCTCCAAAGTTGCACATGGCTGGTGATGGGTGTGCCTTGCAGGAGCATGGCATATCATAGCATCTCACATGCGGGATCTGCACAGACTTTCTTACCATTGGCCTTGGGCCCCTGGTCGCTTGCAGATTTGCCAAGCCCAAGCCAGGGCCATCCAATTCATGCCGTTGAGCTCAGCTGGAATATATATTGGGAAGGCCAATGGCTTGCGAAAGGCCCCATTGGTTCCACAGCACCCCCAAAGACAGACAGCTGCCCCCGGGCCCCGGGCCCAGAATCGCCGCTTCGGTCTCGGCTTCACCGCTGCGACTCTCACGCCGGCGGGTTCGCCTGGATCTGCTGTAGCCCGAACTTGCCGAAGGTCTCTTCCCGGACGTATTCGAAGAAGGCCTGGCGATCTGGCCCTTCCGAAAGCAACAGACAGCAGCGAAGGAGACCAGAAGTCTGGTCCGTCGCATGGTGAGAGGTCCGGAACTCGGAAAACTCAGACCTAGGTGGCCCGTCTTTGGGAGAAAAGCGGCCTCAATCAACCAAAAGAAATCCTCTCATTCATGATTCGCCATCAAATCAGCAAAAGTGGACCTCACACCCCCACACCCTTACACATGCTCTTCCATCACCCATAATGGTGATTCCAACGTTGGTCAATCCATCACCACCTCACCACCCCCGGTCCGATGGGAAAACACCCCCACAAAAAAAAAGAAGTGAAAATACCGCCCGCGCACAGCCCATGCATGCGCACCTTGAAGGCGATCCGTAAAATCCCCAGGATCGCACCATTCCGGTTGAAGGGGATCACCGCATAGACCTGGCAGAAACATTGCACAAACAACCGCCAAAGGCGTGATCATCTAATGGATCAAATGGACTCTCCTTCCTTTTGGTGGACCTAGGAAAGCTTCTGGATCTTCTGGGTGCAACTCCGTGCCAATTTTCCCGATGTTCGATGCGCTAGGACGGCACAGCTTTTCCACCATGAGATGCTGCAGGTCCGGGCTGCTGGACCGCAGGGCACGAGAGACGGAAAGTGAGGAGCACCCACAAGCCACGATAGATCCAAAAGTCCACAAAATTAATCGCGTCTTTTGTGCTCTATACTATATAACTTTCTGTATATATATATATATATGTGTGTGTAAATGTGTGTGTGTGTGTGTTTGTTTGCAGCAGATGATTTGTAGCATATATAGTTAAGTAAAGCGATAAGCGATCCGCGCCTGTAGGAGGTTGACAACCCAGGCAAAGATCGGGCCGGTCCATTATTAAGTGGACTGATATGCGCAGAAAGCAGGTCCAGGACAACAAGAAAAAGGTCCATTGTCAGGCAGTAAAAAGATGGAAATAATATCGCCGTTCGCGTGTGTCACCCTGAGGAAAACACTAACCATGTGGGTGCATGTGCAACCTTTGCAAGGCCAGAGTCGCCATTGCAGACTCTGCCCGTGTCCGGGAACTCCTCAAGTTCGGGGTTTCGCCAGCTGCCTGCTTTGTGCAAGTGGACGCTGCGGACATGGCGGGCGGCTGTGTCATTCAACTGGCGAACAAATCTCCAAGCCACTTGGCATCAACTTTGGCAAACGAATGGGATGCTGACGATGGTCGCACCAAAACAATGTTCTCAACTTCATTCCAAACTCGACCCCCAGAGTTGAACAAATGCAAATTTTGTGGGATGTGAGGAGTATTGTCGGACGACTTCTTACTTGGATGCCACACCTGGTTGCACATCGTGGCCAACAGTGCATGGATCGACTTCAGCAAACCCTGTGGACCAGTTGGACCCCAAATGTCCCATCAGTTGAGAACCGAGAAGTCCTAGACTGACAAGCACGATGCGTCCCTCAAAGGTCATGATGAGCATCCGGGAGTGCGAAACCCTTCACAGATACATACCAGATGAATGCTGGCTTACATGCAGACCCAGGAGCCTATCGATCAATCACCATGTTCCAAATACGACCCCTTCTGGAAATACTGTGTTTTTTATCATTCTACAGGCTCTTGAGAAAAGAAGCGCCCGGGTCTTTCAGGCTGCGGGTATACATGTGCCGCGTATACACAATTCAAACACATATTATACATATATGTGGCTATCAGCCACAAAGGTAGCTTCCTCGCCCGTCAACCAAATCTACTTGAGAAGAGGGAGACACGAAAGGTAACACAGCGGGAAGAGAAGAGAACGCGAGAGGCAGGAACAAAAATGCAATGTTCGACATGGTGATTTATCCCCTCGGAGGCGACCTTTCGTAAATATATGTTCATATGCACTTTAAATGTTCAAACATGTGCTCTCGAAATGTTCAAAAAGATTCTTAGGAAAACAAACTTGCCCCATGGCTCAGATCATCGGTGAGCATTGAATCGGAACATCATAGGATTTGAACTATCCTGAAACCATAAGAGGCTCACGAAGACGCTCCCCAGGAGAGAATTGACGTGCTTCACAAAACAAACTCTAGGTATGTATCCCCTCGGGGAACACCTTTCGTGATTAGAATTTCATATTCACTCTTTCTGAATGTTCAA